TCAAAAGAGTTAGCCATGCATCACAGCCTACATGTTTACACAAGGGTGCTTATGCACACCATGGACCACGTCTGTAATGAGGGAAAACCTTACAGCACCAGCTCAGGATCGATGCCACCTCGTCCGATTGGCCCTCACCCCAAAAGAAATGGTAGTCATATTTTTTAATCAGAACTCACGACAGCTAAAGTAAAAACAAATCAAAACCAGACATTATGCAAAGGCAGCATGCTGATTTTTAGAAGGATTCACCAACAGCCAAAGCAGAAACTTTACACCTGACGTACAAATCCATCTGTTTCAGCCTATGACGGCAACAACTGAACAACAAAAACAGAACTAGTTTAAGCTCTTAACATTCAATCATAGCAACTCAAAGGCATGAGAATCCTATTGGAGCCAAAAACAGTCTTTTCTGAGTGTATTTGTTCAACCTTTTCAGGCTTCATGGTGTTTATAGATGGCTGGCTTTGCCTGATGTTGTTTGCTTTTGGAAATAAGAATCTGCCAACAAACTCTAAGAAACTACAGTATTATATTGAAACTTTAAGTTCCAGACTAACATGTTTTACTAGATGGTGGGGGACTTCATGCGAATGCTTCTGTTCTCTCTCTTTGTCTCTGAAAACTGGTGAGCAGTCACTTTGTGTCCATGTTTCTGGACAGCATCATGACCTGTGCCCAGGTGAGTGGTGACAGACCATTTTAAAACTCTGTCTGCAAAGCTCTGCTGACAAACGATGGTGTTTATCTGTCCAGCGGTGATTACATTGCCGAGTTCACTGGCTCTGGGAATAGTGAAATTCACATTAATTATGCACTGAACGATCTTTTTATCATAACCTGTCAGTGAACACACCGGCCTCATCACACAGACTGGGTAATCACAATTAACCCTCTCTGACGGTCACTTTATCTGGTATGCCAGTCACACTCTCACTTGATCACAGTCAAAGAACAAGCTGTGTAACAAACCATCTGGTGTGTCAGAATAACCTTTAGCTTAATATGGACCCCGATGACCTGTTATTAATGTTACAAAAACATGATGTGTTTGGACATGTAAACCTTGTTCTCTGTACCTCATGCTGTGGGTACATTGACCTCATGATCTCCCTGTCCCATCTTCCAATTTCCTAGTTGGTAGTTAAAGCTCTAAAATAAAGCTTGGTGTCTTCTTACAATGTGCAGATGCTCAGTGAGGGCAGAAGTCGGCAAATAAATCTAAATACAAGAGAAGCTGTGTTTAGAACACTGTTTTTCTTAGAAATTCTGTGTAGAAAATGCTGAAATAAAAAAGTAAAGATCAGGTAAACCAGAATTTAAAAAAATATGATAGTTACTAAAAATAAGTTGGATGTCTGTGTTCAAAATAATGAAGAGGAGTTTAGTGGTATGTGAATAATTAATCCCATTTTATTTTACTCAGGGTGTTACTTCTTATGGGCCTCTTATAAAATGGTAAACAGACTGTGCTAAATATATGCATTACATAGCACTTTTTAAGAATTGTTGTCCACTCAAGCGCATTTACACTTCACTATTGTTAAAAATATATATATTCTTATTGTTAGACAGCAACTAATTTGAGGTTTTCTTCCTTTGTGTTACTCTGTATCAAACTCTGACTCTGGAGAAACAGCCCTTATGGCCCGTGTAACGCAAACGTCTGTCAGAACACTACATGCAAAGGTTCCTTGTGTTACCTTGAGAGAAGTTCTTACTTATTTCAGTAAAAACAATGTGGACTGCATTCGTGGAACATACTAGCAGCACGGCTACAGTCGACCAGGTGCTAAACTGGACACCTCAAATCCAGACCAGTAACCCTGAAACCATTTGGTTAACTATGAAACGACAAAACACAACATAGTAAACTGTCCCAACCATTCTCCAACATGTTGTTAGAATTAAACTCAGCATGGGCATTATTGTCATTTACAGAAATGAACTCAGTTTGAGCATCAGTACTGAATCTTATGCATTGGTTCCTCGTACCATCCAGTCTCTGCTGATCATTCCATTTCAAACTGGACGCATTTGATTTCCTCAGTCATACAACCAGAGACACAAATCTAATCACTCAAATGACTGTGATTAATGCATTTTTGGATATGGGGTTAATCTTATCTGAAATGAATACTACAAGCACTTTTCAAGAGTTTTCAGCAGTGGTGTGCCTGTAGAGTTTTGAATTTTGACAATGCTTTATATTCCAAGTTCCTGTGAACATTATTTCATGATCTGGCACACTTTTGAGAATGAAAATGCGTTTTCTTGCTGGTGTTCAAAGTATGACTCCACAAAGTCATCATTTCCACCATTTATCACACATTCTTGTTTGTGGGTGTAGACCGCATGAAAATATCCGTCTTTACAGCTCTGTGGATGATAAAATTCAGGTCTCTCTTACAGTCTAACTTATTTAGAGAGAGAAAGAAGGCTAACGCCTTTCTTGCTTGCGTACACCTTTAAAAAATGCTTGTTTGCTTTTACAACTGGCTCTGTGGGTAGCTGGGGAGAAGCAGCACACACAGATTGGGGGTTCATTACTTTTTTCTCCCTTGTAACAGCTCATTTAAAATCACAAGAGCCCGAAGCCCATGACAGATGGAACCTACTTAAGAGAGCTTTTCAGTGTCTAATTCAAGTGATATACTTCCTAATGTGAGGTAACTCTAAACCTTTGTGAAAATGCTTTAGGAGTTCTCGTCAAAAGTTTCAGGAACAACTGTGCACGTTTGGATTTAATGTGTTGTTGTGTAACATATACCATCTGGTAAAGGCCATGTAGTGTACATGTAGGCGCGAGGAGCAGCTCCTCTAACTTGGTCTTAAGGGTCATTTTTAAAATCTTGGAATTACGCTGCGAAAAGCAACATTAAACCGCAAGGAAACTTTTTTTGTCTCATCCTTGCGTGTATAGAAAGGCAGGTCAGCCTCATGAACTGAGCTTAGTGTGAAATTGCTTAAGCTTGGTTTGAAAGTATCCACACAAGCCATATATCAGTGGCTCACAGCTCACCTTATCTTGACTGTTCTAATACAGCCACATGAAGCCCTGCTAGTTCACATCAAAGAAATGTCTTAAAAGTCCCTTAAGCTCCCTTTAAAGGGCAACATATAGGTCTCCTGATCTCCTGAAAACAAAGAGCTCGGTTGTAGAAACCTTTGTGGGAAAAGCAAGACTGTCGACTGATTTGAGCAGTCGATTAGAAATGTTTTCTCCAAAAGATCCCGATTGCAAATTATGACGTTTCAAAAAGGAATCTTTGGCAGGTTATTTGAGTGTTTCACTGACTTCCAAACGGCAGATTGAAGAGATGGAAAACACAAATAATCAAGGATGCACAAACGTTTGAGGTAAATTAACTTTATTATTTTTTTAAAAAAAAGAAAAAGTTTATCACGCAAGGCAACAAAGAGAAGAAATGAAAACTGGTCCCCTTCCCCCTCCCTCCACCCCTGCCCCCACCCCCCCCACTGGAAGCAAAGGGGTTCTCATTTCAACCAAATCAGAGGAGCAAGAGAACAAGACTCACATTGTTCTGATTGTGTTTACTTACACTAAAAACATTAAAACTGAACAATCTGACTGTACAGTATAAGACAGACAATTTTAATTTTCACATGAATCCAAACACAGAACCTTACACTAGTATTTTCTTTTACATTTAGCTGACGGTACAAATGTAACAGGAAAGTATACGACTATGCCACACATTTAACTGATCAATTTAAGACAAACTATACATGTCGCAATGGGCACTTTCTTGGGAAAACTGGGCTCACAAGAAGAAAAGAAAAAAGAAAAATTAAGGTCCCGACCAGGGTTTTTTTATTTTTTATTTTCTTATTAAAGCAACATCAAACCTGCATGTTGAGGTAAGCATGCCACAGGGGAATACGAAGGAAGCGATTCCCTTTAAAAAGGACTCCCTTAACCATATCCCCACTCACTTTGTAATTCGCTTTGACAGTAAATCAATTCTCAAGCCTGGCCCCTTGGACTCCTCCAACCTTAGGTCCTTCTCTCTCAGCATTCCTGCACACATGAATCACTCCAACTCCTGGCTTCTAGAAGGCATTTCCTGCCCGACCCTCTCTCTTTCTCTCTTTTTCGCTGTCTGACTCCTCTGCTGAAAGCTGGGCAGGAACTCCACCGAGCTTTGATTTGGACCCAGAGGGAGAGAGGGAGAGAGGGAGTAGGGCTTAGCTTAACTCAGGGCCCTGGCCCTGGAACTCTGAGAGAGAAAGAAATGGAGGCTTGGGATGTGGTGGGAGATGCCTGCACACCCAAGCAGGGATTTAGTGCTTTATCCTTCAAATTGTAATATGAGCAGCAGAGCATATTCCAGTGGCAATATCATTCCTACCACAAAAGTCGGCCCTACGGGAGTGTCCTCTCTTAGGATTTAAGTATACATTCTCTCTAAGACAGATGTTCATTATGTCAGCTTTCAGACCTTATAACACTGAACATTGTCACAGATTTTTGGGAACAGAGAAGTACATAGTGTTTTCATTTCCATAACACACTGCGAGGACTTACTGGTACTTCTCAGTCATGAAGTGGATAGTGGAGCATTCAAATATTCTGTGGAAATAATGTACATAAAGGGAACATAGCCTTTCCAAAGCTGTACACCTGCTCAAGCTTCCCTGTGGAAATCACCTCTGTTGCCAAATCCATTGTAAATGTACATACAAGTTTCTGTCAGTTCGGCAGACTCAAGATGATCGAAGCAGCGCTCAAAAAGAAAGGTTTAAATCGTCTTCATATTTATACAAGTGAAACGTACATATTTTACAGAGATCACTACACAAAGATCACAAACAGCAAGTCTCAGGAGTGTTGGGATCGGTGAGGCTGCGGCTGGGTGAAAAGAGGTCATACGTTGTGACTGGGAGAATTGGCCTACTGTGCAATGGCTGCTGTGTGTGCATGTATCTAGATGTTTGTGAATGTTGAAAGTGGGTGATCTCATCCGCTTGCCTGCTCAGATCATTGCTCTTATCACCAGTCTTCCTTTGACCTGGTGAAGATAGGTGCTCTGCTCTGTCTCCAGGCGTTGATTGGTCAGAGCCTCGTCCTCGCTATCTGCCGGCTCCTCCTTGACCTTTATGACCCCACAGTGAGCATCGGGGAGTTCGCTGCTGGAGCCGCTGCTACTGCTGCTGAGCGTGTGCTTCCGGATAACTCCTCTAGGGGGCAGCCTGTCCTCCTGCATGCTCTCCGCTTCCTCTCTGTGCCGCAGCTCCTCCTGCTCCTCCTCTGACTCCTGCAGGTGTGCACTGGGCTGACGTAACTGCTCGATGGACTTGGATAACAGCTGCAAAAGACATCGGCGCAACATTACGGGTTATATCCTGGAGCCAGCAGGCTTTAACAAGCAGAGAAAAAAAAGGCTCGAAAAAATCTATTCATCCCTTTAATGTCATGCTGAATTTTCACCGAACATAATGTATCTTATTAAAATATGTGTCATCTCTATTATATTTGGTATATCTAAGTAAGCTATGCTTACAGTAAATAACTGGTTTGATACTTTTATTGCAAAGTGATGTTCTTAACAGATATGTTTCATAAATGTTGATTATCATAAAACAAATTGAACATTGTTATGAAGAAGAGGGTTACTGGTTTGATCCCCCAGCTTCCGCACACAGTCCAAAACCGTGCATGTTTTAACCCTGGGGTGAGTGCATGTGTATGTGCATGGTTGCGGTTGTTTCTAGGTGGCCCTGTGATGGTCTGGCGACCTATCCAGGCTGTACCCCGCCTCTCGCCCAGTGACAGCTGGGACAGGCTCCAGCCCGCCCACGACCCAACTAGGAATAATAAGTGGCACATATAATGCATGAATGGATGGAAACATTTTTCCTTTGCGTTTTTTTCAGTAAGGGCATTAAACAATCAAATTTTGCCTCAAAGCATTAAATCAAAGATTTTTTTAAATGACTTGAAAAAAAGGTACAGTCTCCAGCTGCCTTTATATAGCCATGTAATAACACGCAAGTACAAAAGCATCACCTGTCTTTAATAAATTAGATACACTAAATCAAACATTTCAACCTACAAATGTGTCAAACACATTTGATTAGTAACTTAATTATCTATATCCTAAATTTAGAGTGATGAATTGCTCCATAACTTATTGTGAAGGAAGTTAAAGAGATTAATGATTATTTAGTACTAATATATTATAACTACAATAGGTTCAATGAAACAAAGTGAAATGATTGTTCTGAGGGATTTAGAAAGCTTTTTAGAGGGTAAGCAGATTAGACACCTTTTGTACATTTTTACATGAGTTAATAAACTTTAAGTAATGGTGACTGGGCCAAATAAATGGATTACAACCAGTCACTTACATAATGAAATACAGATCATAAAGTACAGTAGACTTTTGTGGTAAAGTTTTTTTTCTGAGAAAGTTGAGATTATATGTCACTGCTCTCATATTATGTCGGTTAATAATCAAGGGTGTCAGCCCAACATATTAGGTTTTTCTCTATCAAAATGTCCACTATTGCAAACGTATGTGGAATTCAAATACAATCATTCTGACCCTGAATTATTTGAAATTTGATCCATTTTTGGCGTTTTGTCACACTTCTATCAGCTATGGTTAAATCAGTCAAAGTATCACTTCCTAAATTTGCACCTGGAGGTGTTAGTTTCACCAGCTTTAGACAACATATTTGCATTAGAGAAAAGTAACTGTTGAAATAGCTTGATGTTGGAGAAATTTTGAAGATATGTGTTTAAAAAGGCATGTGGAATTCAGCCAGTGTGGCACTTTGACCCTTCTCTGTTTTTCTTTCTCCCTAAACCTGAACCATTGGTAACATGATGAGTCAATTCACCCACAAGAGGGCTCCACAAACAGACAGAGAGGTATCTTCCTTTTGTCAGCTAGTAACTAACAACATTACTATCTAAGGAATCTAGGCCTTATATAAATAACCTGTTGGCAATGGGCATTAGCCTCCTTAACCTGGCATTAGTGAGCACTAGTCCTAGCACTTTCTGAAATCCTTCAGCTCTTGTAAATATCTATTTGTGTCTCCTACTGTTGCTGGCACTGGAAAAAGATGGATGTTTAAAAAAGAACGTATTGAAGCCACTGCTAGGAAATTAATTAGGGCAATGTTTCAGAGCTCCCTCTCAATAAACACTCAAGGCTCATCCCTGATTAGTGGCCATTTATAACTTCCACTTAAAGAGGCTTTACTTGCAATCTCATTGGCCTGAGTGATCAGTGTCAGGCCTGTTGATGAGTTTCTCGAGAAGATGCTGTTATATTATCAAAGCAAGTCAACTTCATGGTATTATTCAATACTAAGAGACAGCTGTAGCTGTACTGTACAGCTCAATAAATGCCTGTGGTACTTTGTGCCAATATTTTGGGGTATGAAGTGCCTAATGGTTCCCTTGGCTCTGTCAGGGCCCCGTGTTGGGACACATCAGTGCATAGGCTCATACAATGCTGCCTTTTACCGTGTCTGCCACCTCACACATGTCGCTGACCAGAATAATGACACTCTGTATAGCAAGGTCACCTCGGCCAGCTTACAGAAACACAAATATTGCCACAGAAGAACAAAATGCATTCTGGGCATTTTTTCCTTCATTCAAACTCAGATGAATTGAATTTCACAGAGTTAGCATGTGAACAGCACTGATGCATTGAGCTATGATAACAGAATTACTGCTGGGGAAGGATTTCTTCCCCTTTTAAAATAAGGGCAGAAGTTCTTTGGTTTGCAGAAATAACAACAGGATTTCAGGGAAGAACGAACAATGACCCATGTCTATAAACTTGAGCCGCCACAGATGCTAAAAATAGATCAACATTTCTGTATCTAAAATGATAAAATCAGACTCCCTGCTGTAAAAAACCTCATGAGACCAAAACAAGAATATGCAATGTTGTGAAAGGCGATTTGAAAGTAAAATCTTCTCTGTGTGAGTGAGTTTTGATGCCCAGCACCATACCTTATTTATGTGGACCTGCTGCTGGTACTGTTTCTGTTTCTCCAGGAAGTGCTGGTGTTGCTGCTGAATGACAAGTTGGGCCAGCGTGTTCTGAGGCAGTGGTGCAGACTGGGTTCTGTTCAAGGGTCTGTGTTTGGGTAGTTTAGGCCGGCTGCTGGAGGGGCGATCCTTCATGGCCAAGGGAGATTGAGGGTGGGATGACATAGACCCTTGACCTTACCAGAGAATATAGAACATTCTCAAGTTAACCAAAAGTCTCAGTCTGAATTAGTTGCATGTTATAGTATTCCGATATGTAACATAACAAAACACAAACAAATAACTCAGTGAAATAGGTAACTCTCTTACCAGAGGAGATCATCTTCTGCTGTCTCATTTGCTCCTTCTGAAGGAGGTGTTGGAGGAGAGCATGGTGGCTGGGGCTCACCTTAGACTCTAAGCCCGTCTGAAGGGGCACAGGGCCCAACAGGTGCCCAGGCAGTCCGTGTCTGATTTCAGTTGATCTATCTTTCAAGCCCATAGCCGCCTGAAAGAACCACGAGGGAGCGTTAGGACTAGTTGGCAGTTATAGTACATTTCTAGAATAATCCAAGTAATAAAAAAGTTTAACTTTTCTTCTGAATAAAAATATTCCTCATATTTAGGGAATTTGTTTAGAAGCTGATGAACAGGCTTCTGTGGAATGTACCAAAGAGCAACAGATGATATATCATGTGCTATGTTATCAGGGGTTGCACTTCAGTGCACTTGGACTTTTTAAAAGCTGTGATAAATGAGGTAGTAGGGGAGGATAAGAGCATGCCTGACACAAGACACTTCAGAACAATATTTATCTTAGGTCAATAAAATCATTTGGGGGGCACAGGTCACTGACCAGTGGTCACACATAGAATCCAGACAACCACTGGTGGCAAGTTAAGTTCTTTGCACAATGGGAGGAAGGTTAGATTCCCTGAATGATTATATTGGTGTACAGAGCTTAATTTAATGGACAGATGCTTGAAGAATTTGTACTCACGCTAATGGGTGAGGATGCAGTTGAGAGCCCCAAGGAGATGTTGGGTAAAGAAGGAGATGTGTATAGGCTCAGCATGGACACAGAGCCCTCAGGTCGAAATAATCTTGGCTGGGAAGGCCATCTCTGCATATCAAACATATAGGAAAGAGCAAGAAAAAAGATTCATGAGCAAGTTTACGATTTACAAATCCCACTATAGGCAATTTCAAAAGGAAAAATGAGCAGCAGCATAAATATTATTGCTCTATGACGATCAACAGCCTTCATGGTGGCAAACAGAGAGGCAGAAACTCAAATGTTGGCAGCAAAGGTTTTTATAGACCATCACGCCTGTGTGGATGACACACTATTAAAAGAAAGCAGTGGAATTGTTGATATCTGGTCCTGAGCTCCTCAGTTCCCAGTCGGCCCTCTGCCTGTTTCTACTCCCCAGTCCCCACCCTCAGGCTACTCTCTCAGAGAACATCAGCACTGGGGCATACTTCCTGTACCCAGCAGAGCAGTGGACCAGCATGTGGTTTTGGAACAGTCATGTTTATCCTTCCAACCCCTACCAGTACTCAGTGACCTGTATGTGGATATCCGGCCCATATTTGACCCGAGGGACCCGTTCCCTCTGAAAAAGGATACCTAATGTAACGGTGCACAAACATGCCTTGCTTTTGCAACAGGCATGGGGTCCACAAGCAGCCCTGCAGTCAACCAATGACTTTCATGAGTCTCAGCTTGGGCCGATACAATAGCAATCCTGTGTGTTTATGTTGTTAGCATGTGGGTGTCTTTGGCTACCAGTGCCTGGGATATCAATTAAAATCCACAGTTCGTCTGTCTCCCCAAGCCCCAACCTTAAGACCCATGTCAGGGTGTCTCCCCCCATCTCTGTGTCACTGGAGGTCCCTGGGAGAGTAAACAGTGATGGTTAAGGAAAACACAGCTGCTCTGTTAAGATAGTTCAGAGATGTGTCATATCTGCCACATTCTATAACGACCTGCTTGTGAGCTCAGTCTAATGGGAGTTCTGTTTAGTAACTCAGCTATGAATCTATTGGGAAACGCCTTGAAACAGCTCAGTACAGAAAGGCAGCCAGGACAATGACAGAAATACAGTGAAAAGCCAACAACAACCTAACAGCCAAGTTAGACTTTTTTTAGCTTAAAAAAAAGTAAAATTGATTGCACAGCATATCTTGAAGAACAGAACATTTCACTCGTAAAACATTTGAATATCTGCTGGGACATTCAGTATTTGGGCCCTTTTCATGCCAAGTGATGTTTATGAAAGTAACCTCAGCGTTATTTTTGTTAGTGTGGGTAGTCATTTTTATTGGAGAGTAACAGGCAGAAGACATTTGACTGATTTTATAGCTGCAAGCAGAAGGGCAGAGAGAAATCCAGTGAGGAATGATTGTTTTAGTATTCACAAAATGTTCTTTTCTCTCGATCTTTCTTTTATTTTTTTTCTGTTTTTTTGTTTTTGTTTTGGCAATTCGATTCTTGCTCTTGTGATTTATACACATACCTCTGTTTTTGTGGTAGTAGGCAGAGAAGAGGGTCCATTTTCAGCCCCTAAGGCACTGGAGGCCCCAATGGGAGAGCTGGGGCCCGACCCAGGGGCACTGTTAGTGGGCGCAGAGTCTATGAAACATCAAGTGTTAGAGAGAGGGTTTGCATGCTCACACTCTAAATACAACACACATTTACGAAAGAGCCAGAGTCCCAAAGTGTATATCTGCAGAATTTTAAAAGTGTTTAAATTGTTGTTTAAGGTAATTAAGCAGACATTCTGAATATGGTGTACAAAAAACTTTGTGTTACAGTGCTTAAATCCCACTTACCCATCAGTTCTAGAGCCCTTTTCTTGTAAGGAGTCATGATGTTTCCATCTCTTCTCTTCAACATCGGGCTACTTCTCCTCTCTGCCACCTTCTGCTTCAGTCTGGATCGTACCTTTAAGTTAGGCTCAGATGCTAAAAAGAAAAGGACAGAGTCTTACTTTGTTTCGAAGATAAAAACTTCCCATGACATGATTTAATTCAATCATGTGAGCCTTCTCCAAATGCTTTCTCTGAGTTAAACAGTCAGTACAGCCCTACGGTAAATAACATTACCAAAGCAAATATTCATATTGTACAATAAGAAAAAAACATACAAAAAAAGATAAAGAGTAAATCAATTTTAAAGTTACAAGTGTTGTCATGCTTTCATATTTTTTAGTTATGGAAAAGTTTTCAGATAAATTAAATGAGTCATGATTGGGCCCTTTTTCCACATCATCTGGACCAAATTAGGTTAAGTAATACACAGGCTCTAAGTGAAATAGTCCGCTACCTGCCGCCCTTGTGACCACAGTCTGATACAGTAGCAACAGTTAAACTAACACAAAAACATGGCAGATGTTTCAGGCTTTCCCCACACCCCTTCCCTCTAATGCAAACCAGAGATACCCAAACACAAAGATTGGCCTGAAATGAACCAGACTAACATAGAGTCCCTCAGTGTTGACCCACTGTGATGCTTATGTAATATCTTTCAAAATGGACATATTACTTTCATAATTTCCACCTGGTTTTAATGCTAGATTTGGAGATCTGAAATAAGTATTACCATCTTGTTTCAATTTAAATCACCAAAACATTTTTTAAACCTCAATCTATCTGGAGTTGATTTCACTCATTTAAACGCTTTTCATGCAAAACTGCAGGTTCTATTATTGTTTCACTGAGATTATTGTTTCATAGAGATCCTCAACTGCAATTGTGACTTTAAAAATTGTGGGTTTTAAGAAAGGATACTATTGAGCCCCAGAAATAGAAAATGTATAATTTTTCCTCAAATAAACAAATAATTGATTGTTGGATGTTTTTTCTGTGGGTTAAATAGGCAGTTTAATATAAGATGTAAGTCTTATAATCATGGCTGAATCCCCCCCCTCCTCCTGTTTAAATGAAAAAAATTAGTTCCTGTTGCTAAGTTCTGAAAAAAATCTCTTGTGTGGCACATTTGTAACAATGGAAATACTGTGTTGTATAATTCCGACATTTGAAAAAGACTGGTGGTTGAATCAAAGCATGAAATCAATTCTGAATGATGTCATCACCAGTTATATGAATGCAACAGAAAGCAATTGTACCCAACTAGTGAACCATGCTCCTGTCTAGTCACTGCGACTCACGTGGTCATGTCTCATATACAGAAGACTTCCCATCAACCCTTCAGATGGAATCCCACAACTACCTTTACACACTCAAATAAACAAGCAGAATAGATAAGCTGATCTTTTCAGAGGACGCCAAAGCACAGAGCTCTATTGAAGTTATGTAAACCCTCTGTTACACAATGGCCAACCTGTTTCAATTATTTAGTTCCGATCAATAATTAAATAGGCCTTTCACAATGTGTGTATATCATACGTCTATACACAGGAAAGTGCAGCTATGACGTGGAAACACTCCAGGGAGGAGAAGAGGGAGCAGTGATGGGGGCACAGCTAAGAGAGTGGGCCAGATGCTTCTATTTCTGGCTTTTGTCAAAAGCACCAAAACCTTCTCCCCTAATACGTGGCACAGACCTCTAATCCTGTGGGTGTGAGGTAGAATGAAAGAGAGCAAGGGAGGAAGAAAGGAGGCAGGAGAGATAAATGGGAGAGAAAACGCTGCTGGGAGTTGTATGAATTTGCTTCACGCCCTGCTGCCTTGATTGCTTTCTATTTTTGCACACTGCTGCCACCAAGCTACGCATCACAATTGGTCGCCACGGGAACGCCAGACAGTGGCACAGGAACAAACACTTTCTCACATGTCTCTATGGGGAAAAAATAAATAATAAGAATAATAATAATGCCCCGGTGCACAGTGCAACAGGAGACAAAGATGGTTACTCTACAGCACGTACAGTGAACACCTGGGTCATTTCTGCTCTAGCATCTCATTTAAGAAAAACTAATGCTTGCAATACGGCGCAGCCATAAATCAATCTCATTATGGGTTGAGCTATCTCGCTTCATCCTAAGCACTTGTGTCCATTAGAGGCTGGATGTGGACAGATGGCTAGAAAGCCGAGGTACATTCTCTGTGTATCCGAACACCTGCTGTGCAATTCCTAATATTTGATTAGATAGATAGATAGATAGATAGATAGATAGATAGATAGATAGATAG